AAGTTATCATTATCGTCACCAGTGAGTTGTAGAATTAGACTGCTGATTGAATAGAAGCACAAACCTGACATCTAGTGGTGAACACAGTTACAGTGCATGACACCATGTACTAAAAGGTCAATCGTCATTAGATTCCTCATGTTTTTCTTACAAACACGCTGATCATTTTTATTCTCTTGTACATGTATGAAATGCTGCAGCAGTGGTCTCCAAAGTAATTCTTCATTTTGATTTTTTTTGTTGAAAGCAATGTAAACTTTTATGTGAGGGGAAAAAGGGGAGTCTTAAATATCCTGATGCATGCTAAAGTCTTAAATGTTTTACTGCTCTTTAACATGACAGATAATGAAGTTTTGCCACAAAAGCACATATACAGTACTAAAATATTGTCCAACACAAGGATGGTGTGACAGAGCAACACTAAGCTGTATGAGATACTCTTGTTTTACAAATCACTGTACCCAATGCATCAGCTGATTTTACTGAGATATAGATATCTATATATCCTGTTTGTTTAGTTGGTTTCTGTTTTTTCAGTAGAGATGGTCACTGTCCTCCAAAGTTCTCTTTTTAAGATTGGAGAACAGTAGGTGGACAGATCCATTTAGACTTCTAACAGCATGCTTTCAAAATACAGAGGTAATCAAATCGAACTGGAGATAAAAAACTAAAACAATGATCAAAATGTGTTCTTAAGTGAAATACTGAGCGGTTAGTATTAATGTAGCGACCATCCAGTTTCCCCTTTACCTGAAAGAAAGGGCAAATCATAACATACCACTGTGCCACAATAAGCAAAAAAGGTAATGAGTGTTATTTGAATCATTTTAAATAAGTTAATCTCTTTTTTTAAAAATTATTTAAAAAATTAAGCAAATAAGCACAGAGTCAAAGATGTATTCAAGTAGCTTTATTTGTTAAAAACCAGAACAATTGACAAATAAGACTTCAAATTTCTTCCCCTTGAGCCGTCGATTCCAGGCTAGCTCATGAATGATGTGTAACAGACGATGTGAATGAAGGCACTCCATCTTAAGTCCAAGTATCATTCCCAACCAGTTCAAGTAAACAACCTCCTCTCAGCCTCTGTGGCAATCAATAACAGCTGAGTGTAGGATGTTTACATGAACTGAGTCTGAACAACTGAACACAAAACTACACTTTAAAGGAGCACAGTGTTTAAATCAGGTATGGATTTCAATGAATATTGAATAAAAAGGTTAACTTGGCAGTAGGGGGTAGCCAGCAGCCGCAAACATCAGACTGAAAGCTCTGTGGTGCAGACAGCTTCCAGTCGGGGATGTTTACAGCCCCAGACGACCAAGTGCATGTGGAGCCTTAAATGCAGATTATACAAACACTTTGCACCTACATTTAATCTGAAGATGCCAGCCCAGGTCCTTAATAGAGTTAAGGTCAGAAGGTTATAATGGCCACACTGTGGTTTTCCTTTTGAGCAACCAGGGAGCCTATAAAAGAAAAACCTTTCCATAGCATGTTAGGACATTGCCAAGTTGGGATCACAATACACCTATGAGGACATTTTGACACAATGAAGTGGGTCTAATCATCTCGCTACACAGTATTCCAGTTTAGATCCCTCTGCCTTCTGCTTGGTGAGTTAGGTTGGTGTTTATCAATCATCTAGAACCCAATCCACCTGGACCATAGTAGCAAGGCTTTCACTGGTGGATCAAACAGTTTTAAAATTACAGATATCTGGTCTCTTGGAAACATGTTTTTATTTTGTTTATTAGAAGTCTGCCTTAAAAATATGGTTCATTTACTCCTAGCTCTTAAGCACTTTAGTATACATCCATGTTTGTGGTGAATACAGAATAGGCACCTACCATGCATGTCTTCTGGACAGACACAGGGAGCACATGTGTAACTCCACACAGTAAGGTGAAAAAGCAACAAAACTACACAATACACCCACCTTACCACCATTTCTCTATTTGACTCACACTTTCCCCAAGATTTTTATGAACCCTCTTCATTTTTCCAAAATTATATCCATGTTTTTCATGCCAGACACTGCACTTCTGCCACACTTTATCTTCTGAGAAATTGCACTCCCATTTTGCATGAGAAATGCAACTTGTTTAATTTAACTAGAGGTTATTTAATAACAAACACCTGGCAAACCAATTAGCAACCATGTCCAATTTAAAAGAGAATAAAAAAAAAACTCAGCTGTATCTGTTTAAATCCTACTGACATGTGACTGCATAATCATTTCAGCCATTAGACACAAAAGAAGAAGCAGCAGCATAATATTTGGAACACAGTTCACGCACTGGACCAGGAAGACATACTATGAAACTGTAGATGCTGTCTGAAGCGAACGCTGACCAGATGTATACCCGTGTACAGTTTCGTGGCCCCTTAAAGAAAGGAAAAAAAGAGGAAAAATGAGGAGTAAAGTTAACATTTAATTTTTTCCGAAATACTTTAGTGCCAAGCATCCATAGAGCCTCGTGAATTAGCACAATGGTGCTCCTGGGAGAAAAACGACAACAAAACAAAACAACTTTGTCCCTCACTGCACTGCCTCAAAAGATTAACATGCCAGCCTGCTGTTTCACGCTGACTTGCGCCACAGGTTAAATTACATTAGCTACGAAACAGCTGTTTGGTGCCTTGTTATTTAGAAGCATATTGCGGTTTAACGGTACTGTAATGTCACTGAAGTAAACTTGCACTGCTGGTAAAGACTGTTGCAAGGCCAGCTACTGTGTCCTACCTAACTGAACATAGAAAAAGCTAACTTAAACAGCAAGATGACTGTTAGTAACAAACGTCAACTGCTTGTGAGGTAACCGGCATCTCTAGAGAACTGCTTAAAGTAACTTTGTGCTGCCAGGCGTCCTACCAGACTAAACAATATAATGTGGTAAGTGTTAGCACTAGCTAACCAACGACCTAGGCTACAGCTAGCTCGCTAGCTGCTGTTAGCTCGTCTGTGACCCTAACCTTGTGCCGTGTGACGTTCCCTTACCGGTATATAAAACGATTATCCCCGGACGAACGACACGACAGCATCCAGTGCAGGAAATTATTTTGTATTTTGAGTCAACCTGGTAATGTTCTGTGCTATTCTAGGAAGCCTGTTTAGTTTCCTTCCGTTTTCATTCACTTGTCTTTATTTTGACCTTTGGTTACTCGACACCAACATTGACGTCATTGTCATGGCAACACAGTCCCTCCTACCGCGAGCCCGGACAGACATACGGTACTTACTTTTACGTTTTACGCTTGAAATATAGCCGTAATTAGCATCTCACTGTGAATGTAGTGTTTTTTGTTTCTAAAGAGTTGAACAGGCGCAAAGGAAGCTTAATTCCGGTTTGTTCGTGAGAAAAAGTAATGATAAAATAACAGAAAGACGAATATAACTAAAATCTGTCTAAACTGTTAGGTAAACATTCACAAATATGTTTAAACTACCAAAAGCAGAGTCATAGCAAAAAAGCCAGTTTGAATAATTGGATTATTTAGGCATCAGCAAAACTATTATTTTTGCAAGCCTGTGTTTTTTTTAACTACTTTGTTTTTTGCATACATATTTAGTAGGTTGTTGGTTCTATATTAGCAATTATAAAGGACAGGAGCCTCAAAATGAGATTTTGAATTCTAGCATTACCACACTTTGTTTTCTTTTTCTTTTTTTTTCTTTTGTTTGCTGTTCTCTTTTCTTCCCTCTTTCCTTTCATCCAAATCTGCAATGACTTTTGGAGGCCAAGAAAATACCATTGAACTGAAGAAATGTACTTAAAGCAAGTACTTAAGGCAATCAGTTGCTTTAATTTTAATTTTTTCAAGTTTTCTGTGACATTCCCTGCATACTAGCATCGTGCACCCTGCTGTTATGTGCTGCATTGTCTCAGGGGCATCTTTGCACAGCCTGCACCTGGGGTCTTACCTGGTGTGGTACATGCTGTACAGGCTCCTGTCCCTTCATGATGGTTCCTGTTGTTGCGGCTCTTCTTTCTTAGGTTTCTGCAGCCTGAGTTATCCACTAAGCACATGATCAGTTGTGGTTATCTTCCTGATATACTCATGGATGTTTGTTGTTTCATCTTTAATATTGTCTTTGACACACTAGAATTTGGCCTTCTGCATAGCGTACAGTCTCATGATGCTGTATTTGGGGTGAAACACTCCATGCATGATAAGAAGGTTTGTTGTCTTGAAGTCAGTGACTTCTCTCTCCTCCTTTGGCCAGCTTATTATCCTAGCAGGGTATCTGATGACCGGCAGGGCATGAGATCTACCTAGATCTCAAGCTTGAACCACAACCAAAAACCGCCCACAGGGTGAGTGGAGAAAGTTTTATTTATAGATAGATAGATAGATAGATAGATAGATAGATAGATAGATAGATATTATAGTGCCTTTTAATTAAAGTTGGATTGTGGATCTTGATCATTGTTTTTAATGTTTTTTGACATTTATAAAAGTATATGTTAAAGATTTTTTTTAAATTCCTAAGACTCAAATTTTGGCAATTGAAAGTCATCCATTTGAGCCCAGGGGCTTAGCATTTTCTTTACTTTTGTAATTCATTATGTGATATTTCATTTACATTAATAGTCACTGTGATTATTAGATTAGTTACCGATAAAGATTTACAGCCCTAATTCATATTTCACAAAGGCATCAAACATATTACACAAGTTTAGCTTTATTTAAACTTTGTTCAATAGTGCACATTGGTATTTATTCATCCAGATTACTGGTCTCAGCTCTGCCTTAGCTCCTAGTAGTTACTATTGCGCAAGTACTTGCTTGAGGGAAACCCTGAGTCCAGTCTAACAAAGTTATGTGGCCTGTCAATAACAGGCTTTCAATTGGAAAAAAAAAAAAAAGCAGGGAAAAAAGAAGAAAGTGTTTTGAAAAAAGCAATTTGGAAGCTACCTTGTAGCTCTGAGCATTCATCAACTGCTTATGCCTGTGGAATAATCTGTGATTAATCATTTAAGGTACATGCTTTTGCCCCACTCATGTTTTCTATTACATCATGCCTGTTGACATATTTGATAAGCAGTGCGCTCATTAATCTAATTAGTGCCTTTAGCTACTTATGTTTATTCCATCAGATGGATCAGATCAGACTGATCATCTTTGCCTTAGCGTGTCTTTGTGTCCAGTCAAAGTGTAATGGATGTAATACAGCAATTCTTTAAGCATAGAGTTAAGTGCATTTTTAATTACATATAATCAAAGAGTGTAGATGAAAGAGTAGGTAAGGTCCTAGCAACTTCACATAATCCAAAAAGTAGTCATTACTCTCTTCAAGAGAGTGTGTTAGAAACTGCTTTGTGCAGTATCCTCCACATGAGGTCAGGCTAGTTCCACAAATCAACTAGCTTTTCATTATGTAATGGAACAAAGTTAGCTGAATTCTTGTGATAGATTACAGGACGTATAGTGACTATTTAATATTCAAAGCCCATGAACATGTCGCAAGAATATTCAAAGTACCCAATCTTTGGTCAAAATTGTGAAGCAAGATCAGCGAATGCAAATTTCTAAAAAAAATTTCTGAACCAATAACAATATTCATTATATTTCAGAGGGTAGTGGTGGTGGTGTAGCCTTCTTTATGTAACACTGCAAAAGACTTCTTAATAATTCATATAACGTATTGCAGTTATTTCTTATGAAAAAAGAGCAAGAGCGAGAGAGAGAGAGAAAATCCATCTATAACCTAACCAGGGAAATTGATTCCCTTGTCATTCTGTGTGGTCTGAAATTGCCCAGAGCTATTATGAGAGAGACTGATTTTTGCTGTGCAGTGGAGTGGAACAGTCTTGCCTTGTAGAGCTTTTTGTGAGATGTGAACAGATTCATGAGCAACAGCACTGCTAAAGAGGCATGTTATCATGTGCTCTCAGGCAGATATCCTAAACATTTTAAGCTTTTTAGAGTAATCTAACTAATCTGTGCTAAAACGTGCAATTCACACAAAGTCATTGGTACTAACACTTTCTGCATGTTTAACCAAACTGCATACAGCATAACTTTGACAGTTGTAAAAAAATAAAGTTGTAATTAATTTGACAGTTGTGAGATAAGGTTTGTTAGTTCTTTCAAATGATCCCATTAACTGTAAAGTTATATTAAAATATATTTTTTAAAAACTTAAACAACAACAAACAATATTTTTGACAACAAATCAGAGGTGTTTCTAATGTGGTGGACATGTGGAGGCACCAGTGGCACACTCACATTCACACCTATGGGCAATTTAGCTTCGCCAATTAACCTAACCCCACTAATTACATTTCTTTGAGAGGAAGCCGGAACGCGGGAAGATCATGCAAACTCCACACAGTTATCATGTGGCCAGGTGATGGAATCGAACTCAGGCCCTTGCTGTCAGGGAACAGTGCCAATCACCACACCACCATGCTGCCCCCTAATCAGGCCAAAGCAACATATATGTCACATGAGAAACAAATTCTGTGTATGTTTCAACCAACAGGCTACACCAATCAGAGGTCATAGATGAGCTGTCCCAGAGGAAAATGAAAGTCAGTAGTGGAGTTGAGAGTTACATCACTGCCCTTCTTATCATATCTCTGAACACTGCATGGGATCCTTATTTCAGATGAGCAGAGGGGTGTACCAGAGGACCACAGGTATGTTCCTATCTGGGGCAACATGATGTTTTTCACCATGCTTCTGTGATTCTTTACTGGTTAATAGACCACCCACAACTTACTGTAAAAGTCAGTGTTTTTGTGGCGTGATAAATAGAAGAATCAATACACGCTCTGATTAATTTTAAAGGTTTCTGTGAAATGTGTGTCTAGGTAGTTTTACTGGGCTGGAAATTACAAAGGCTATCAGCGCTTAAAAACGGATGCTTGCAGGCTGGATTGGCAGGTTTACAACACCTCGCCATATTGCCAAAATATGGATTGCTTTTTTTTTCCAGTATTTTACCTTGTGGCTACAATCAGAGTGTGCTTGACCCATAAACTAAGAAATGGGCATTCTTTCATTTTGAGTTTCTTCACCAACTTTGTTGTTGTGGTCTGGAAAAAAACAAACAAGCTTTTTGTTGTGTTTTTTGCTTATTTTCTGTCAAATATATGCCAATGCAATGGAGATCAAACACGGACAATTTTTCAAGTATGAACGTCATGAGCGTGGGTTCCCTCCGGGTACTCCGGCTTCCTCCCACCGTCCAAAGACATGCAACTTGTGGGGATAGGTTAATTGGATAATCCAAATTGCCACTAGGTGTGAATGTGTGAGTGAAAGTGAGTGCGAATGGTTGTCTGTCTCTGTGTGTTGGCCCTGCGACAAACTGGCGACCTGTCCAGGGTGTACCCTGCCTCTCGCCCTATGACAGCTGGGATAGGCTCCAGCGTCCCCCGCGACCCTGAAAAGGATAAGCGGAAGCGAATGGATGGATGGATGGAACGTCAGTATACTTTAAGGAAGTGATCCCTGTGAGCAATAAACCACGTACACATAGTTCACCACTTAATGCATTTTGTTTACTCTTGGTTCTATATGATGTCAGTAAGAAGAAGAAGCAGCTCCCTTATTCAAAACATCACTACAGCAGGTAGCGCCGCCTGGCTGATTTGGCAGAGTTTTTGCCCTTCCTGATGTCAGTGAGAGTGGATGTATTAATAATCATGATCATAGTCATCTCAGGCACACAGCTCTGACTGAGCAAGGAAGCCCCACCCACTTACTTTCAAACCTTTTATTTGTGAGGGGCAGCAAATTAAGATGTGCTAAAATGGCTTTGAGAGAGAATGAACTGATAAAGCATTTGTACAATTTACGCTGATCCTGATTTAAATATATGTGCAAATTTTTGAAAAATGTAAGAAAAAAAATAAACATGCATAATACAACTCAGTGTAAGCAATGTCTGCAATAAACAAAGAGAATCATAAACAGAAACCATAACATTATGCTTCACTGGGAGGAACTGAAATCCAAAATAAAGAACTGAAATCACTATGAGAGCAAGGCGAATCTAAAGAAATGGTTTCGGCTCAATAGCTGCATTTACATTGATCTAACTTTCTCTAGCCTTATTCAGCAAAGAAGGAATTATTTACTGGACTCAGCAGCTCACATACTGTATATGTTTTGAATAAACCATGTGAATTTGTTGGATTGTTAGCGACAAAGCAAGCAACCAAAAGAACTGCTCACCAGTGGTTTGCAACACTTCCTTTTCCTCTTCAACGACAATTTGTTGAACAGAAAATAATTTCTAAAAAATGTATGATTGTGTCAAGATTAGTGGTAAAACTGGCCATCGCAACAGTGTCTGGAAACAAATGTTTTGCCAAATATATCAATTCGTCTGTGGCAATTTCAAAAATTCTTTTCCCATCTATCTTTATATACACGATCAAAAAGTGTATGCACCTGTGTGTTGTTTAGCCCCTTGATGAAGTCAGAAACTGATCACCAAACTCAGAGTGGGCACTTAGACTCTGCACCCTTTTCCGGCTGAAAACTATGACGTCAGTCTTGGAGGTGTTAATTCTCATCCCAGCTCCTTTACACTTGGCTGCAACCTGCCCAAGTGCAAGTCTGCCGTTATCACTCAATGAAGCCAATTTCCCCAGTGCAACTAAAGAAATGTAAAGTGTTATAATGGCATAATTTTTTTAAGTTAATTAACTAAAGCTAAATCCCACTGTTGTACCATGTCTGAAAATACAGCCGTAAATGATTCCCTCATTTTCACATTCTCAGATTTGTTTAACTTCTTGAGAAAAACATCTACACACAGCTAAAAAAAAAAAAATCCTGGTATTAACACCATGCGCAACATGTGCTAATTTATAAAGCATTGACATTCAATATCATAAACTCAAGACATCACAGCTGGATCCCATTTAACACACAGTTCATCAGATGGAAATACATCAGTCGTAACCTCAAATGATCGACAGAAGGGTGATGGACAAGTTTACTTGTTTTCCCCCGATGCCTGAATGAGGCTAATATTGCCTGAGATACTGACGAGTGAAGAATGCTGACACAGAATATGGATTTTTGTGATTTCTGAATATTTGGTTTAGGTATGAGAAAAACTGAAGATGAGTTTTCCATCTTACATTTGTGTAACCCAAACATTCTGGCAGTAATTTTCCTACAGTTAGATTGCACTGGAGAACCAAAACAGTGTGTTCAGATCTCTGAAGCTGCCTGCAGAATCTGGCACCCAGATTTTAGCAGCAGATCCTTTCAGTCCCACAGGTAAAAGTTATAAGACATGTAGTAGCACATCCTCAACAACTCTTTCAATGGCTCGTTTGTCTCTGTTTGGACTGCTATCTGTAGTTTTTCATTACTATAAGGAGCATGCAGAAACGTTCACCTATTAAGTGAAACCTTCTTAAGCAATCTGTTAAGTAGTACCATGTTTGTTTGTTTTGTTGTAATAGAGATAACAAAAATGAATAACCTTGGATACTCCCATTAGACCACTATTGCCTTGACAACAAAAGCCTGAAATGACAGATCCAAACTGGTTCTCTTGTCCATTATATGTAAAACTCTTACAAGGCTGAACTTTTTGGGTATTTTAGCCTGACAATAATAGCTGACAAATCAAATCTAGAATCAAAACTGTATGGGGAAAGAGAAAAAGGCAAACACTGGCTTAACAGTAGGAAGTTGACTTCCTTGAGTGGCCCATATCCAAAAATCCATCCATCCAATTAGACAATGTTAGACTACAGAAGTAGCAGACTAAGAAGGTTTTTCCAGTTGTTGTTGTTTTTTCGGGTTTTTTTTTTTTCAATACTCTGAAAACCTCTGCCCTGAAAATCTGCAAAGGAAGGTGCCCAAGACACATTCTAATTAGATCCTCCTTTAGCAGAGAACTGGAAGTCTTGCCTTCCAGTTCTCTCTCAGGTTGTCTCAGTCTGATACAACGGTGTAATGATCTGCTTGTCCATCTAACTCCATTTTAGCCTCACCAGAAAACTTGATGTCAGGGTTCAGTTTTCCCCAAAGGTCGCTCTCCACCAGAGATGGGCAGTACTGGTTAACCCTTTAGAGCCGGTC